TTTTGTTTATTGTTCCTGGATGCTAGGTCAGACACATACTGTTTTTTTTTTCTGTGTAGTAACTTGATTCAATGATTTTTCTGGGTTGTTGATGATTTTTCGAAAGGCCCTGTATACATCCTTATTCACGAATTGTATCGAATGTAATATCAGAAACGATTTGTTTCTTATATATCGATACGTATATTCAACTACTATCTGTCATGTGGATTCTGTTAGACCGTGTACATTACGTGAATAGTCTACACTTTCGGGACATTGTAATGTTTATTCTTCTGTATTGTTCACACACTGTTTTCCTGTTATTACTGCCTGTATATAATTTTCAACAAAACAGATTTATCCTATGTATTATGGTGCCAGAAATGTCATTTATCGAGTTAATTTTGATCCACCCATTATACTTCAGTCATGTTATGTGTTAATTGAATTTTTGTTGCTGTAAATGCAGAGTCATACCAGTAGTTCAATGATTATTTTGAAAGTCACGTTTTTTGATATTTTTACTCTCATGTCACTTACACTTCTTTCTTCCATCGAGTGAACACACGTGAATTCCAATCAATTCTACAAGTTATCTTTCCTTGAGTTGTTCCGATTAATTCTCTCATTTTTGTCGATATCTCGCAGACTTTGATGGAAACTGCTTTCAGAGTACCCTAACGATCATGTTGATGAAAGAGAATGACGTTGTTGTTCTATGGTTCACCCCATTCCCCAAAGCATGTCCTTGTCGATGTTATTAGGAATATAAAATGAAATTGAGGATACATATTTTGTCGATAACTCTATTTGATTTGTCGCAGGTCATACTTTATTCAGATATCCCTGTATATGGTATACGTCAAAGTCTGTTCTGGAGATGTCTCATACATATCAGATGTTCCTTAACTACAATTCCACTTGAGGTTATTCACCTGTTTCCCTTCTCCACCCTGTATATTTTTTTCGACTAATTTTTTTTTCCTTATACCAACTCTATATGTTACGTACGTCAACGTTCTACTATAGATGTTCAATCTCAGATCCGTGTATCCTTTTTCAATTGAAATAGCTGAATGGCTGAAAAGAGTTGTGCATCGGAACGTGTATATTTCAGTGGAATATCGATCATTCTGCAACGTCTGACAACACTGTTCTAGGTAGGCAACTGATGAAAGTTTCCGCGCGTGCCTTTAGCTGGAAATGTGTGGTTTATTTCGATATCAGGATGGCATACTCGGAGAATTGCTGCTTGAATAAGCATATATCTATTAATACCCTAGTACGAAGATGCCTCTGAGAATGATGTGAATGGTGATTTTTTATTTATTTCATCTCTTGGTGTGTACGAGAGGAAATTCCTATGATATTCGTCACGTGCGTACCTAAGGAGGATAGGGAGGGAAGGTAGGTGTTTCAACTTTTGAATGAGTTTGGTAGAGTGTTGTTCGACATATTTCAAGGTTAACGACGAAAGGATGTGCTGACTGGGCCTGTCGAGGTCGTCTGACTGGTATTGCTAGTGATGGAATTATAGCAGAGATTTCTGAGGAACATTTCCCGTGGAGGTATCTATCATTTTTTAACGATTTTGAACTTCTTTCCAACGTTTTCGTGGCGTTTCTGTGACGTTTTGGTAACGTGTTTACGATTCAGTTTTTTTTTTCCTAGTCATCCTGCATATGTCTTTTCTATCTTTCATTCGACTCTGACTATTTGTATTACCCTGTATATTATGATTTTGATTTCCTCATTATCATCTGTCATCTGCCATACGCCATCTCCCTTAAGTCTGTTATACCTGATCGTTTGCTTTCGGCTACGTTAGGAGCACCGGAAATATCATCACGATATCTTCAAAATGTGATAGTGGTCTCTGACTGGTCGGCTGAGTCACGTTTTTCAACCCGGAAGGTGGAGAAGGGGGGTGTGGTCTCAAGCGTTTGCTCTGGGTGAGGTTCAAAGCACCAGGAGTATCACCAAAGGTAGGTATACATTATCTATCAAGCGTTATCTGCCATATGTCAAATGTCAATCGTATACGGCATATGTTATATATCGTATTCGGCGAGGATGATAGCACTATGATTATAATGGGACAGTATACAATATCATGAGAGCCGAACATGACCGTTTGATTTCAGTGAGGTTAGAATCACCAGGATATGAGCTATTGAGCAAATTAGACAGGATGTAAGCATGAACCTCACTTTCAGACACACCCTGTATACCTCTGGAGTTTTTCCATTCTTGAATGGCTCGTGAAGTCATCAGCCACCTGCTAACAAAATGAGGTTACAAGAATATCTCTCAGCGAGAACAAAGGAGGCTTTGTTGAATGACTCATCGGCCACCTGCGTCAGAACAATGGACCCATTGTTCTCTCACAGATAAGGATGATGCAATCGGATGAGGTTGTTACGTAATCGGACACCTGCAAACAAAGGCGGCATTGTTCTATGAAGTCGAGATAAGGATGACTCATCGGCCACCTCTCCAACATGCATATCGGGTGACCTTGAAACAAAGTGCTACCAATTGTAGTAATAACAACCTAAATCTGGTGGCAAAGTCACTAGATTGTGACGTAATCAACTACCTTTCAAAAAGAAGAAGAAGAATGTCCTAGGACACGCCCATAAGCACTAGAGTCCAGAGTCTAGGGGGCTAAGTTCAGAGTACTTCATCTGTCATTGCTTGTGTTCCATGGCATCTGTCACTCTTTGTGTTCCATGCCATCTGTCACTCCTTGTGTCCCATGTCACCTGTCATTTGTCATCTGTCACTTGTCATCTGTCACTTGTCATCTGCCATCTGTCACTTGTCACTTGTCATCTGTCTGTCACTTGTCATCTGTCACTTGTCATCTGTCACTTGTCATCTGTCATTTGTCATCTGTCATTTGTCACTTCCGGCGGTCATCTTGTCACTTCCGTGCAGCCAACACCTTCTACCACAGGAACGGTTGTGACGTCACTTCCGGCGGCGGCCATCTTGGGCTGAGGCATACGTAGGTACACTACTGTCCAGTATTTTATGGACCGATGAGGCAACGTTCACCAGTACCGGTAAGGTAAATTTGCATAACAGCCATTACTGGGCGGAAAATAACCCACACTGGATGATTGAAATCAATCAACAACATAAATTCTCTGTTAATGTTTGGTGCGGTATTATCGAGGGCAAAATTATTACGTACATTTTCGAAGAAAATTTAAATGGGGCAAGATATTTGGACTTTTTAGTCAACCACTTACCAGCTTTATTAGAAGATGTTTCTTTGGAAACCCTCAGGAACATGTGGTTTCAACATGACGGTTGTCCGGCGCATTATGCTCGCAATGTAAGGGAGTATTTGGATAACCAGTTTCCTGCTAGATGGATTGGAAGGGGTGGTCCATTTGCTTGGCCACCTAGGTCTCCCGATTTAACTGTCTTAGACTTTTACTTATGGGGAAGAGTAAAAGATGCAGTTTATACGACTAGACCAACAACGCGAGAAGACATGATTTTGCGCATACAAAATGCAATACAGTCAATTTCTGTAGCAGAGATAGAAACTGCTGTATCATCGACCCGACGAAGATTTGATATGTGTATTGAAAATAATGGCGGCCATTTTGAACATCTCAAATGAAAACTTATAGCCTTAAGCAGTAGGTAGGTACCCAAGTTATTTGTTTTGTATCTAGCCTTTAATTTGTTTGTCCTTTTCATTTATAAGATTGTAATAAAAAAACAACATTTTAAAACTTTATGAGTGAAATTTCATAATCAGATTCAAATTTCCTCCTGACAGTGAACTTATTGTCACATTTTAATTTTGAAATTATTTTAAAAATATCTGACTACCGGTTTGCACCCGTGTTTTGTTAGGCTCAGCATTGGAATATTTGGTTTCAGCATGCTCACCATGTTATAATTGTTATTTACAATTCAAGTTACAAGTACATTAGGATTTCACCGGACGATTCTGTGTATGACGAGTTTGACACAAAAAAAGTATTATTCTGACATTCTTGAAATGGACAATTATTTTGTATTTATAGCCTTCTTGATATTGAAAAAATATGCATTTATTACGCTCGTAATCTTATAAACACATTTTTATTCATAACTTAATTTGTTTAAAAAACACTAGAGACTTCCGGTTTGCGGCATTCTTTTCTAAATCTATTGCAGAATATGACACTTTATTAAAAAATATGTCATTACATTTGAAATTTTTAAGAAATCATCAATAATTGGTGACAATTACAAAAAGCGACATCTGGTGGTTTGTTGAGGAATTTGCCAGAATATTTAAAATTGTATTCTTATTCTACCTTAAATTACCTATCAAACGATCAAAAGTTTATTCGAATGGGATAAGACAAACCGAAGTTATGGTGATTTTTGTATACCGTTTTTCTTTTGTTTTTGTTGTCGTTGTTTGAAGAGTTAGAACAAAAAGTATTATACAAAAGTTTTAGGTATTGACTAGGATATGCAGAATACTTTAAAAAATACCTACGTTTGTATTTGACTTCTTCAAGAAAAAGGAGTTTTTAAATTTTCAATCTGTATTACGCCACCTAGCGGTCATTTTAGGAACTTAAAACTATTTTAGTTGAATTTTTCTTGACTGCTTTACATAAGATAGTTTTTTTCCTAAAACTGTGGGACCAATAGTTTCTGGGATGAAGCCGGTCGATAGGCTTAATGGGACACCCGGTATAGCAGCATATACCACCATCAATGGTTTAGGCATTTTGAATAAATCGAATTTCACCTATGATCCACAAATAAATCACAAACAATTCCTTGAAAGTACAAATTGTCAGTAATGAATAATTCCCAGAGATCAGCTGATCACAACAAATCGCTTCTAGAAATGTCAAATAAATCTGGCATCGGTGTACAGTTCTACCAACTCAAATCGATAACGCGGTTCGCCCACTTTGAAAGTTACTAGTATATTTCGATGTGCAGTTTTGGCACGACATTGTTACCAAGTATTGCGCAACTATCAACCCAGCGTGAAAGCCCTTTACTGTCTTGACAAATACGTCCAATCAAATATCTAATACTACCGCCTTTTTTATACTGCATTACTTTCATAAACAGGGCGTCCTGAAATTAAATAGATTGATTCCAACCATAGATTCTAGGTGATAGTGAATAAAATCAATAAACATGGGTCCAGATATGGCCCCCTGGGAGGTTAAAGTCATCTAAAGGTGAGCCTGAGATGATGATTTTATGTGAATATTTGCAATACCCTCTGTGATGAAATAACCAAATTTCATACAACTACCTAACTTAGTATTATATCGATATTTGAAATATTTTTGTTTGACCTTTCAAAATAGCAGGTTTCTCTGCTGCACCCTGTACATCTAATCTTCCATCCACCGTGATCACCCCTGGTATTCTAGATAACAACTGAATTAATAAATATACTTAGGGAAAGTAATAGAATACCTATAGATTTCCACTGCAAAGTAGATTTTTCAATGGAATGAGACCATGACTAACCAGTAACCACTTCTGATCGAGGCAACCTCGTATACTAATGACCAATTCTACCAACCTTTGATGTTTCTCAAGTTTTCTGGTTAACAAGAAATTGCATCTTCAACATTGCATGAAATACGGCTGATGATGGACTCTCAGAGTCTGAAACATGTACCTCAATATATAAACGTTTCAATAGATTTGTGAAGATCACTTAGACCTATATTTTCTTCCAGTGTTGTAAAATATACAGTGTGTCCGAAATGAGGTTGCACAGCATGGGGATCTCGGAAACGGGAGGAGATATGAATTCGGTCAAATGACAAAAAAAATTGCGCATTCAGAGGGTCATATCAACGGCCATCGAAAAATTTCCAAATTGTTTACCTATAGTTTATCAGTTATAGGTAAAAAAGTGAATTTTTGGAAAATCTATTTCAATTTTCCAATGCAAATTTTGATGAGATTCAACCGGATTCAACGTGGGGCTATTGATTTCTCTACACGACATTTTGTATTCGTAGAACAACCATCATCAATTTTTTTATAAAATACGGTCCCGATTCTGTGTTCACGGGTTCTGCTTTTTTCATTATGAATGGACCTGTTCCATTGACAATTTAATTCATGTATGAAAAATCCCACAAGCCGCGTGATTTTGTCATAAGGACAGCCAAAAAAGTTCGTCCTAACTTTTCCAGTGACAATAACGGAACCTAGAGTTCCTAAATGTACTTGACACTGCTGTTTTGACGTTTTTTGTATATGGGTTGCGAGCAAGAACTGTCAGATGACCGATGCTGGAGGCAAAACATTGAAACACAACGTCACTTTTCTTATTTGTTTACAAGTGATCGAAATAGTTTACCACAATTATTTTGGCATATGAATCGTATTTTTCCGCTATTCATCAATTCGCTCATGCCATCACATTGTGCTGTTGTAAAATGCACAAAAACTGCAGCAGAAGATGAAGCAATCCGGATGGTATATTATGATTTAAAAGTAAGTACCTACTATAGTCACTCACATATAGTTTTCATTTTTGAAATCTGGTTATTTTTCTGATTTCTCATCGGAATTCCTTCTGCAATAGGAGCTAATAGAAATATACCTGAAATTTCTAGAATAATGCAAGAAGATTGGATTCATGCAATCAATCGGGAGGACTGCGGTCTGACATGCTGACGATCGTGTGTGTTGAAGACATTTTCACTCTATTAGCAGCATTAGCTTGTATTGCAGAAGTCGCAGAAGGCAGAAGGAATTTCAATAAGGAATGACAACATTTCATAATGATAACTATGTGAGATTACTATTTGCCTGAAAAATCATATTCCCTAGTCTCTTGCTGCATTTTTGTGCATTGTACAACAGCACAATGCGAAGGCATGCTTGAATTAATGAATAACGCAAGAAACACGATTCGTATGCCAAAATATTGTGGAAAACTATTTCAACCTTTTGATTCCTCTGTAAACAAATAAAAAAGTGAGGTTGTGTTTCAATAATTCACAGAAGAGTGAGGTTGTGTTTCAATATTTTGTCTCCAGGGTCGGTCATCGTGCACGCGACCTATTAGAGTACGGACACTATGACAAGCACTGACAATCAGACATAACTACAAATAAATTGATGGAAAAGCGGGAACTGATAGTACACGGACGTACGTGACATAAACTTTAAAGGTTTGACAAATTGAGAGAATTAGGAGAGAGATGCAAGTTTGTGCAGTTTACAACTGTGAGAACACGGGAAATTAATTCACTCTATTCAAAGGACCCCGCACATTTAGTACGTAAAATGGCTTTCGGCTAAATTTTCTGAAAATTTTATATGTTTAAGACATTATCGTCCTTATCACACAGTCCAATTTACAGATCGATCCTATGACCAGTTTTCGAGCTACAGGGTGTCAAACATTAGATTTTGGCTGTTTAGAATATTTTGCATCAAATTGAATTATGTGCTCTAAGTCGTGATTATTCTTCAGTAGGAATGAACTCTTCACGTCTAATATCTACCTCATGAATCCCTCTATTCGGTTAGAGGATAATATCACATACAGAGTATTGCATTCCATCATGACAAGGTAATATTCTTGGGAAAAGACAAATATTGAAAACATCAGAATTTTGATTTTTACTCAATCACTGAAAACTTGAAAACAAACGGCTAGAATCGGCCAATTATGTGACACAGTATGGGTCTTGATCATAAACATGAGGATTTATATGATAACCTCTGATACCATGTCCGGTTGGCCATATATAGGGTGATGACAATTTGAAAGCTTATAGAATTGATGTAACTCAGGTACAAAATGAGATACATTTCTATAATAAATATGAAGTGGAAAATGAAATGTCTCATGAAATAACCCACCCCCACCAAGCCCCTGATGAGTCACAACCACCCCAACGCATATCATCTCAATAGTAGCCCCTACTTATTGTGATACCTCATTGAATAGCTTGGTGAAAATACATTTCAGTAGTATTATTCATATCTCGAACTGGGTGAACTAATAAAAAATATTCATCACCTATATCATTCTGCTGGGGTGACGTATTAATTCCGTAACTTTTTGTAGTATGGGAAAAATCGTTATTATCGAGCATTATATAAATAACCATAAAAGTGAAATTGCTTATGTGAACAGTTGGCTAGTGAAGCGAGAGAAAACTAAAATCTACAGAATGTTCTAGTAACCTAACCTAACATAACCTAACCTAACCTAACCTAACCTAACCTAACCTAACCTAACCTAACCTAACCTGAGCTGGTCAGACGGTAAGGACACAGCTCCATTCAATCCAGCAGAACATCTCCAAGAAAGAAGTTGTAAAACTGTGACATGTCCGTTATGTTTGAATTCTCAAGAGAATTTGTATTTTGATGATTGTCAAAAGCTGCTGATAGATATTTTTCACATTGTGGCTCACATTCTGGCGAGATGGTCGTATTGAGACAAGTTGTCAGATACCATAATATGACATCAAGCATTGTCATCACCCTATATATGGCCAACCGGACATGGTATCAGAGGTAATCATATGAATCCTCATGTTTATGATCAAGACCCATACTGTGTCACATAATCGGCCGATTCTAGCCGTTTGTTTTCAAGTTTTCAGTGATTGAGTAAAAATCAAAATTCTGATGTTTTCAATATTTGTCTTTTCCCAAGAATATTACCTTGTCATGATGGAATGCAATACTCTGTATGTGATATTATCCTCTAACCGAATAGAGGGATTCATGAGGTAGATATTAGACGTGAAGAGTTCATTCCTACTGAAGAATAATCACGACTTAGAGCACATCATTCAAATTGATGCAAAATATTCTAAACAGCCAAAATCTAATGTTTGACACCCTGTAGCTCAAAAACTGGTCATAGGATCGATCTGTAAATTGGACTGTGTGATAAGGACGATAATGTCTTAAACATATCAAATTTTCAGAAAATTTAGCCGAAAGCCATTTTACGTACTAAATGTGCGGGGTCCTTTCCATCGGATAACGTAATTCTACAAAAATGGAAACAGAATATGATGCGGCCGGCATGGAATATAGGTTGAGGCCACAACATTTGCGAGGTATTCAAATTTCTTGTTAGGATATAGAACATTTTTTAATGCATTTTCATCAGGTACACTCCAGAACGGAAGATTTGATATTGATAAATAGGATCGTATTGAGAGAAAGAGCCGAACCCACAATTTATAAACTGAGCGAGTATCGAAAAAAATCTTATTCCAATTTAGAACCAACAAGAAACGAAGAACTTGCAGATAATGAAATTCATTTCGAACATATTTTGAAAGAAAAAAAACTTCAGAATGAAATTTTTAGAGCAGGAATATTAAAAAATTCAAGGTTTACCAGTGGGAGAGAGTGAGGAATTCAGGAAACAAATAGAAGAAAAAAATAGAGTTGGAAAACAAGTTGAAGCAAAAAGATTCAGGTGCAAAAGTCAGAGTTAGCAAAATTCAGAACTATTACCTAAACATTATTTCAGATTTTGAAACAAAATCAGCAAATATCTTCAGATAAATACAAGAAAATTGAACAAGCAAATATCCAGATGGCATGCAAAAAGTTTGGAAAAAGCGTTGGTGATCAAATTCACGTGTGGTTCATGTGGTTACAATAATTTATTGGAATTTACCGAGTGCACCATTTATGTTAGGTATTGAAAATGATCTTCCGATGGAAGGGTTCAAACCAACATTCCCCTTTATCAATGTGAACAGCTGTTATTGTTGCCGTATCATTTGTACATTTATTAATTACTTATTACCTACCACTCTTGTACAAGTGAAATTGTTCCATACGAAATAAATGTATGTTTCATTGGTTGAAGTTTATCAGTTTTTGCCCCATCTTGAACTTTTGTGGTACAAATTATTCAACTGAACGTATAAGTCTCTTATTTCATAGGAATAGTATATGTATTTCGTTGATATATAAGTACATACCAACTTGATATCGACCTCCATTGAGGTTCTTCAGCCTTATCATTCAATATTTTGAGAAGGAATAATTTTCTAATCAATTTATGGTACCCTTTTACCCCACTCGAGGAGACGCTATGCACTCTCATACAAAAATCAAAGACAGAGAAAGATATATGGATGTACTATTCCCAGGACTTGTGGAGGAAGGAAGTTGCGAGGATCCTTTATCCAAGCGAAAAACATATTCTTGTCCTTTTCTGGCAAAACATATGATTTGCTTCAGAATCGTTTGTGGTTATGATTGATTGTCACTGCTTGTCTAGTGTCCGTACTCTAATATTCGCGAAAATCACGAACCAATAGATGGCTCTATTAAACGTCAAATCAACGTCAAATTTCCAACTGAGTATGAACAACAAAAACATTGCCGTATGCACTCATTGCAAATTGGTTATTTCCAAATCATTTTGCAAAATAGTGAATAATAAGTTGACTTCTTGAAATACGTACAAGGTTTCCAGTATGGAAAAAATTACTTTTTGTGCAGAGAAATTGACATTTTGATGTGGACAATGGTGGTATTTATCATTGATATCACACTACAATCCAACAGTTTTCAAACATAAGGAGTGATCGGAATGGTCCACTCAACACTTGCATGGTGGAATTGAACCATACAAGCAATCAGCTATTACAACAATATGGTATGGGTATGAAGAAATAATTGAATTCATCAAGAAATATCACTGGCTCTTATGAAGGAGATGGAATTCTAGTGAAGGGGTTGGAAAAGAAGATATGGTTGGAGAGGCTGCTCAGAATGAACAATATCATCGATTTACATAAACAAGGATCTCCAGCAATTGAGGACTTCAAGTTATTCTCAAGATCGAATCATTGCAACCAACATTTATACAATGATTCTAATTCAAATGTATATTATATTATTATAAGGTAGGTACTGGTTTCTTCATTGTAAACAATAAAAGTTCATGCAATAATTCGAGTTTTTTCATCAGGGAGAAATGAGGTTCTGGAATATGCACTTCAACAAATGAATTATTTTGGAATAAAATACATATTTATGAAATTCAAAACAATGGTCGGCATATTTGTTGTTCATACTCGCAAGACTTGTACAGTTAGCCACCAGAGGCCGCACACTTCGTGATTTTCGCGAATACGAAAAACGTCAAAACAGCAGTGTCAAGTACATTTAGGAACTCTAGATCTGACCATCTGACTCTTCCAGAGTTGGCCTTGCAGCATGTGTCTCTGGCCTTGAGAGGGGAGGTGGGGTGGGAGGTGGTGGGCCCCATCAACGACATAGGCTGGCGCCTCAGGAAGCACTACTACCAACTGAAATGCAAATCGATGCCGAAAGAGGAGATCTTTGGCAGCTGGACTGATTTCGGGCCCGACAAGTATCTGGACGATAAGGAGATGCACAACGTTTTCAAGAGTTTGGGGCAAATACAGGTTAGGGATAAACACGATGATGGTTGCATAAGATTTTAATGAAGTAAATAGTATATTTCATTACGAGTCTGGAAATGGGGATTTTTCCGTGCGCATGTGAAAAATTCGATTCGCCTCACAGGAGAAGTCATGGAAGCAAGGAAACATCATTTCTAGACGTGTGTTGAACGACATTTTGTATGGGAGGATGTGAACCTTTGCTCCCATGATTTATATGTGATTTTACCAGCAAACGTATTTTTTAATGCCCCATTCTTGAAATTGTGCTTCAGGCGGTCTATATCCGGATCCAAATCATTATGCATTACAAAGGTATAGTATGCCGTGGACAATTGAAGGCATTTGAACTAGAGTCAATTTGACACGTCTGTCATCATGAATTAGTTGATTTGTATATTGTGTAACTGCATTGGAAAGTTTAGGGTCCCTTGATGGAAATTGACGTAAAAGTCATCTTAACAGGGTAGGGACAGATCATAGCTGCATTCTTTTTTGATGATCTAGAGACTTTAGTTTTGTCTACTGGCATCCCTGACATTGCTGTCACGTCACATCCATGGGCGCTACAGGAAATCATTCAAAATCTTAATAATAGGTATGTACAGGGTATTTACTTGTTGGGGAAGATCATATGGCGAACGAGTATTGTACTTATGATCCGATTCTATGCAAAATTGGAAGGTATCTGGGGTTTTCGGGGGTTGGAGATAATGCTTGTTTCGTCAAACTTGGAAAACTCAAGATGGCGGATCCAATATAGAGCGAGATAAATTCCTAATTATGATCTGCTTCTATTTAAGATTGGTATCTGGGGGTTTTCGGGGTAGGAGATAATGATTGTTTCGTCAAAATTCGAAAATTCAAGAAGACGGATTCAATATGGCGAAATACATTAGTTTATATAATTATTACTCTACCACTGTCACGGCTAATTTATATTTTAGTTAATTCTGTACACATAGTATTAGGGGATTTTGACAGGAAAAGTCATTGAGTCAGAAATAGATAATTGTAATGGTCAGATTCGATACGAAATAAAGTGAAAAGGTTTTCTGAAAGTTGAAATCTTTATATTAACGATAACATTGTGGTCCTTCGAGAAAAACTTGAAACAGCTATGGACGGACAAGATTCCAGGAAGGAGAAAAGGTGTGTTAGGAGTAATGCAGGTGTGAACAGAAAATTGTCCTGCGACTTTCTGTGGCCCAGAGGGTTTGGAGAAGGACACGATATACATCCTTCATCCATGACAGAACTCAATGGTGCTCCTCAGAGTAGTGTTTCTCAGACTCTACAGAATGGAACTCAAAGTTTTAATTCACCAGGTATTTCGAAAAACGTCAATAATAGTGACATGTCCATCAGAAAAAGTCATGATGATACGGGGCGTTCTGAACAACGTTCTATGAAAAGTGCATCATGCAAATCTAGATCTAGATCACAAGCATCTCTTTGTTTATCCAAAAAACGTCTTGCAATTCAGACAGAAAGGGAAAGACAAGAACTAGAAAAGCAACGAAGGGAAATTGAAAATAAGATGAAAATTCTTGAAATGGAGCATCAATTGAAAGAAGCTGAGATGGAAGCAGTGGACATTGAAGATAGTGAATGCTGTAGTAATGAAGACCAACGGAATTACGTTCATTCTGTAACCTCTGTTGCTCAATGGGTAAACAACATTGATGTAGATGATCCTAGAAAAGAAGAAAGCATTCATGAACCAGACAATCCAAAGAAAAATAAGGATTATACAGCTCCGACAGACATTCAACTGCTGTGTGAAACTCTTTCCAGTGTTTTGAAATCGGTTTCTCCAGCTAGACACGACACGTTGTTAGCAAGGAATGTAGTGGACAAGGATTTTCCAGTTTTTGATGGAAATCCAGAGAATTGGCCTTTGTTCCTTCAGAGATATCAGCAAATAGTGAAAATGTGTCAATATAGTAATGATGAAATACTAATAAAACTACAAAAATGTTTGAGGGGGGATGCGAAGACTTCAGTAGCCGGCATGCTGCTCACCTCTAATAACGTAGATTTGATCATGGACACCCTGAAAATGCGCTTCGGGAGAACGGAACAAGTCATTGAGGTAATGATCTCACGAATCAAAGCTATTCCATATTTCAGAGATACCAATGCTGATAGGCTGATTCATTTATCACATAAGGTGAGAAATCTCATATCTACCATGAAAGCTTTAGTGTCTTTGGATCATCTCAACAACCCTCAGCTGCTGAAAGACCTGGTTGGAAAATTACCCGAGATAATCAAGCTGAAATGGGGAGAGCATCTGGTGAAAAAAGACGGCAAAGCGTCTTTAGAAGATTTTTCTATTTGGCTGGCAGAAATTGCGAATGCTGCTTGTTACATTAGTTCTCCGAAAATTCCTAACATTACTGAAAATAGATATAATTCGAGAAGTTCGGCTTGGCAACAGAAAAATGAGAGGGTATTGGCGACAAAAGAAATATCAAGAAAACAAATCTGCTTCTATTGTGAGAATAAACATGTAGAAGGTTCCTGTCCAAAAATGAACGATGATGACGTTGATAGTAGGTGGAAAACAATCACCGATAAAAAATTGTGTTTTTCATGTCTACAGAAAGGTCATCTGAAATTCAGATGCAAGAAGCGACAGGAATGTGGAAAAGATGGATGCAAGTATTTCCATCACCCTTTGTTATACAAAACGAATATTTCCTCGGCTGATAGTCAACAATCGAACCCATCAACATGTAGCAACAATAGCCAGAACGAGACAGTATGTTCAATTAGACACGCAAATGCGAAAATTCTGCTTAGAATGATTCCGGTTTCCATATTTGGGCCAAATGGTGTACTGAATGTACTAGCGTTATGCGATGAAGCATCAACTGTCACATTAGTTGAGGAAAGTATTGTTAGGGAAATAGGATTGCGTGGAGAGAACGAGCCACTTTGTATCCAGTGGACTAATGGTATAACCTCAAACATGGACAAATCTGAAAGATTGAATTTCAAGATATCTGGAGTGAGAGAAAATTCCAGAAGATATTCTTTGGAAAATGTCAGGACCGTGAAGGGGCTTTCTCTCCCAGAACAAACTGTAAATATGGACGATTGGATAGCTTATGAGTACTTGAACGACCTTCCAATTGAAAGTTTTGCCAATGAAAGACCAATGATATTGATTGGTCAAGACAATATTAATTTGATATTACCCAGACAGTTTCGAAATGGTCCAGATAACTTACCTGTTGCTACCAAATGCAAACTAGGTTGGTCATTGCATGGTCTTAGTCCTGGTTCAGGTAGCATGCATGCACAGATCTTCCATATTTGTGATAATGAACGTCTGGAAGAATTGATGAGGAATTCCTTTTCGACGGAAGCATTTGGTGTAGCCATGGTTTCAAATGTTTTGGGTAAAGAAAATGCACGAGCTATGGAACTTATGAATGAAACAGCTAGAAAAGTAGGTGATCGATTTGAAATAGGTCTTCTTTGGAAATCCGAAAATGTTACACTTCCAGAGAGTAAGACCGTCGCTCTACAAAGACTGAGTTGTTTAGAGAAAAAGTTCCGGAAAAATGACAAGTTCGCCTTGGAGTATTGTAAGAAGATTGATAGCTACCTAGAAAAAGGATACGCGAAGAAAGTTCCATCTGATGAAGCGAATATTGAAACATCAAGAACCTGGTATTTACCTCATTTTGCCACTGTGAATGAAAACAAGCCTGGAAAAATCCGATTGGTTTTCGATGCTTCAGCTAAATCTAACGGGGAGAGCTTGAATGATAACCTAATGTCCGGGCCAGACTTACTTCAGTCCCTCACTTCGGTTTTATGGAAGTTCAGGCAGCGAAGATATGGCATATGTGGTGACATACGCGAGATGTTTCACCAAGTAAAAATCCGTGAAGTCGATCGATGTGCTCAACGTTTTCTGTGGAGAGGATTGAACTTCGAAATACCACCAGAAGTTTTTGAGATGCAGGTGATGACGTTTGGCGCAGCATGTTCACCGGTTTGCGCACAATTCATCAAGAATTTGAACGCCAAACAAGAAGCTCCTTCAGAAAAAGTTTTGAAAGCCATAACTGAGAAATTTTATGTGGATGATTATTTGGATTCTTTAGATTCAGAAGAAGAAGCACTTCAAATGATACAGGATGTTTTTAATGTTCATAAGCTTGGAGGCTTCGAGGTAGTCAATTGGATATCAAATTCGAATTTGGTGAGAAACACTTTGTCTGAAGACATGTTGATGATGAAAACATTCGAAAACGATGCATGTTCACCTGAAAGAGTTCTTGGGATATGGTGGCAGTCAACCACGGATGAACTTTTATTCAAAATAAATGCTAATGTCATGAAAGCTGCTGACTCGTCTAAGAGTTTCACAAAAAGACGAATATTGAAAAATATTATGTCGGTTTATGACCCTCTAGGCCTGCTAGCTTGCTTCACAGTTAGGGCGAAAATACTCATGCAAGATGTATGGCGGTTAGGTATAAGCTGGGATGACCATGTTCCCGGAAGTATCGAAGAAAGATGGTTGAAATGGCTTGTTGATCTTAAGGAAATTGAAAAAGTTAAAATTCCGAGATGTTATTCCACTAATATTCCTACCGCAAAAAGACTCGAATTACATACATTCTGTGATAGCAGTGAGAAAGCGTTCTCCAGTGTAACCTATCTTCGCATTGTCGGGGAAGGTTTCATCGATGTAGCTATGATATCAGCAAAGACTAGGGTAGCCCCACTGAAACCTTTGTCGATTCCCAGGCTTGAACTTCAAGCTGCAGTGATGGCCAGCAGATTATCGCGCACAATATGTGATGAATTGGAGATAGAAATTTGTCAAAAATACTTCTGGTCGGACTCCAAATGTGTCATACAGTGGATACGAAGCGATGAAAGAGATTTCAAACAATTTGTGGCACATCGAATAGGTGAAATTCAAGAATCGACATCGGTTGAAGAATGGCGGTGGGTACCCACGAATGAAAATGTTG